ATTTTTTTGCACCTTAACACTTAACACTCAGGTATAACCACAATCGAGCAATTATCCTACCTGTCAACCTGCAAGGAACTCACAGTTTTAAATCTCCATGGTAACCCAGTATGCGACATTGCTGATTTCAAGGAGAAAATTATGAATATGTTATCAAATTTGAAAACACTGAATGGTAAAATCCAACTATAACCCTCATAAATTAAATATGTAGTTCAACAACTCCTAAATATATCTGTATGTACATATTATTGGGCTGTACATTTTCACAGCCTTGCAACCATTGCTAGTGACAAAACAGGCCAAAAACTCTCAGAAAACTGTACTTTAGGCTTGTTGTTGAGGCAGTGTAACAAGACCTCTACATGTACAACATATAGAGTTGAATTTGTGCTGGTTTTTTGACAGTTTAACCAGCTGTTTGACACAAAGTCCAATAAAAATACATGGTATTGTGATACACATGTTAAAACTCAAAACATTTTGTGACGTATACTTTGCTATTCAATTAATTTCTGTGGATTATTGAACATCTCTGTAATAATGATTTCTTGTGTTATCAAGAATTGAAATTAAGCACCGAATTGCTTGACGAAATTATTGGCTGAATGTCAGATGCACAACAGAGGTCTGGTATGTTTTTCGTCTTTTGCATATACTATGTGCTTTCATTTCAATTATGCTTGACATTAACTAACATGTACACTACAGATTTCCACTTAATAAACATATATACAGATGTGTGTTACATCATAGGGCATATATATTGTTTATATAGTTTACTGTGTTGTGTATCATTGTCTATCAAATATTCTAATTTGTGTGTATTGGAATAAAGGAAGTCTACTATAATTAAAAAATATGAATAAATTTTATATGGATACCATATCGCAACGATACAGAAAATGTTAACCCAAGCAATCATTGTTCAAGGTTATTTGACAATGTTTATTGGTGACCTTTTGTACATGTGTATATATATTGGGATAACCTTATTAAGGTTTGCATGTCTTTGCAATAGACAAGCCATGGTTGGTGTTGGTGATAATATACATGTAATGTACTCAATTGCTACATCATTATGATTTGCAGATTGTCACATACTCCCAAGAATGAAGTAAAAAAAGTCGCACTTGCGATGTGCATATTAAAATGAGTCAGAAGTGACAACAAATAATCCTGACTAGTACCTGAAATAAGCATATCTTTACAAAAAAACAAAAACAATGAAATACAGTGCAATCAAATCACAACTGCTATGCCCTACATTAGTTTTTGTTCATAAGCTTCCAGTGTACCAGTAATATATAAAAAAAATGTTCAATTAAGTTGATATCTTTTTCTCGTTCAGACCTGGTATGAAATGCATGATGTTGCATGTACTATTTCTTTATTAATTAATATCAATCTAGTTGCCGCCCAAGGAGTTATGGTATACCTGTATGAAAAATTGTAGAGAAAGAGGATTGATGTTACCAATGATAGTTTTGTGAATGAAAAAATGACCAACAAAGTATACAAAATTATGTACACTTCACAACAGATGGATGTTAATTATTATCAGTTGCACCCATGTCAATAAACCAGAGGTTAATTTACTGTGTGTGTAGGATGGTTTCTGTAAAAATTCATTACACAGTTTATCATACTTGTAGTTGTCATGCTTGCTCAGGTATGTCATGATTCCGTAAATAGCATATATTATTTTTTATAACGTTCTGAAAAACCTCAACAAAGTATCGTATAAAATACAAAAAATTATGGAAAAATGGCAATAATATCTTGTGGTTTTTATGGCTTTCTGACATCGCAATGATTTGGCCATGTACTATAGTGTACTTTTTATACTTGTGATCTTTTTCGTGTAAATTCATTTATTTTTTATATCTTGCATAACTACTTCAGGTGACCACTTTACTTTGATAAAATATCAAGTCACACCACACCAAGTGCCGCTAAATCTTCTTTCACGTGACAAAGGTATTTGTTATAGTCGCTCAGTCTCGACTTCCAAGGTAACCTGCAACAATAAACAAAAAATTGGTGTTGTACATTTATGGCATGAATGCATTTTTTAAAAATTTAAATCAGACAAAAATGCTTCATTGACAAATTTAAAAATTAGGGATTATATACTATGGAGGCTTAAAACCAGCCTAGATTTTTACTGTAGAATGCAACAATATTTTTCAAATTTAGATCCGATAGTATGTATGTATAGTATCGTGTGACCTTTCATTAAGATCACAACACCATGACTGTTATTTGTCCTGCAGTTAGAATGACAGACGAATTTAAACCCAAAATACCACCAATACTATCTAACTTAGTAGCATAATGTACACACTTTTTAAACTCTTGCACCACATCCTGGTTGTATACCACTGGGTACATGTATCATTCTTTCACCATGTTGTATAATGCATTGTCTATGTATGGTAGTTGTTTTGTGTCATGAACATGTAATCTGTCTGTGATTTTTTTTTATCAAGGCTTGTGCATGTTATGTGCCCTCTACAGAGTAAATATTCCTAGCTGAGCGTATTGTCAAATTACCAATAGAATATTTTGAAAGGCATACATACTCTCGTTTACTACTATCAATCCAATGTTCAATTTCATTTGTTACCACTGTGTTTGATTTACCAACTGAGAAAGTGAGATGACGATCAAACGATGATTTCAGTAATCGTAACACTGTGCGTCCTTCATCATTATCATACAAATATGATACAAAGCTATTACCAGCATAGCGTGTGCCTGGATTTGGATGCAATTCCTGCAATACATACGACAGATATGTTTATCAGTTTCTCTTTCATTACAGAGTTAATTATGAATTAGAAGTATATGTACGCGTACGATGACTGACAGCCAGTTGGTTTGCAGAATAAACACTAAATACTCAACCTTTATTAATTCAGCCCACGATAAAACACTAAGTGCACATGAATATGGCGATTATGCTAATTGTGCACAATATAATTAGAAGAACAGATATTGAAATGCAAGATATATGCGACTTGTTCCATGAAACAACTCTATCAAATACCATATACATGAAAAGTTCTAAACCACTCATCAATATCACTTCTCAGTATCTCTTTGTGTTAGAAGATTTATCCTGGTAGCTGTTCACCATGGTAGTTAGAAAACACTACTTCTAATGTTGTACTGTGAGTCGTACATGAACATATCCATTGATTAGAATTTGTTCATTGATTCAGTATGAAAGAAAAGAGAGAGCTGATGAAAGAGTATACTCACTCCTTGTATTCCTGATAAAAATGTGTACTTTATTCTGATGAGCTTTACCCCCAACGCATTGATTATATCATTATACTCCATTTCCCCTTCAGGCATATTGCCTGTTATAATACCAAAGTCTTGCTTACACGATGGACAGTATGTCTGATTGTCCGTGGACTTTTCACGCACACATTTCATGCACAACACATGGTTGCACTGGAGGATTCTTAGGTTTGTTATCATATTCATACATATTAGACATGCTCTACCATCGGCATGTCTGCTCATACAATCTGCAGAGCTGTCTGTTTCTATGTGTGACTGTTTAACAGTTATCCCGTCAGATACAACTTGACTTTGCTTATTTCTCCCTATATAGTCAGACAAGGAAATGAAATCTAAGCCTGTTGTTTTTGGAACATTCCTCTTAATGTCTCTCTTTCTTAGACTTGAAGTATCAATGGCGTGGCTGAATGTATTTACGGCAGCATCAACATTGCGTGTTTCACCATATATTTGCAATACATCACCCCTCTCGTTCACGGTCAGCAATATATGTTCATGCACTTCCTTTGTTCTTTGCTTAGCTTGCTCGATATCATCTGAATTGACGTCCTTCCCTCTCAAGTCTAAGTTTCTGGCAACAACATTTTGTTTAAGGTAACTAACAAAAATTTCTATTTGTTCATATGCCTTATTAAAACCTTTTTCTCGATCTGCATTCTGTGTAGAACTAATTAAAAGGGAAGACCTACTATTTCCAAATTTGACACCATATTCACGTTCATACGTTTTCAATTCATCAGCGTAAACGTTTAAGATGTACATTAGAAGTTTTTGGTCAACATTGATTTCTTTGATTGTAGTGACATCTAATGATGAGTTTTGAGTGCCAATTTGTGCAGATGTTTGACTAACCATCAAGAGTTTTGGAAGATTGTCTCCTCTATGACCTTTAATAGGAGATTTTTGGATGGATTGTTCGACACGTTTGTCTCTAACTGGAGTGGATGATAGATTCTTAGTGTGCATAGTGTCTAACTCACTTGCATTCGACAATGAGCATGTAGTAGAAGGGTTCTCAGACTGTACAATCTCCTGTAATTTAAAGTGAATATCGTTCATCTGCCTTAGATCTCCCCTGATAGTAAATATATGGCTGTCTTGATTAATTTCCCATTCATTGATCATGTCATCCCGATGAGCGTTTTCGAGGACTCTCTTCAACTCTTCTTCCGATAAACCCAGAGTGTGTGATTCAATAGTTGCAGCAACTTCCTTAAATAACACCTGGTATGATAAGACAGTGATTATTACTAAAATTCCACTCTCATGTTTTAAAACAATACTAAATTCACTCATATAGAATTCCAAGACAAATGAAATGTATTAACGTGCTGTAGACACAATAAGTGTCAGTTTTTTAAATTAAATATATACTCCATACTGGAAATGTAAAATTATCTACAATGTATAGTAACATGTATACATACTGGAAAACTATTGCTGATGTTGTTTATCTCATGTTGTGTAGATTTATCTTTATAATGACAATGTGTATCATTGGTATCTCTCCTTACATTGGTGACTGTTCCATTGGTCATTGCACCATTGGTTTTCTTTTTACTATAATCGCTAGTACTCTATCCAAAATCAAAGAAAGAACTCCCTTGTGGTGAAGATATTAGAGGCATGTAGTACAAATAAGGAATACTGTATTTACTATATTAAAAGCACATGTTCATATCTGATGTAATCGGATATGTGGATTATCAAGCACCTATGTACCTAGTTTTATTAAAATTTGAGTGGTACTCTGGTAGTAATCTGTGGATATAAATTTATTTATGCAAATTAGGTAATTACAAGCACAAAATTTAACCCTAAACTAAACATGTACCGGTATATGGCTTATCCCAGACCATATATATATATAGCAAGTACCATTGAATCTGACGAGTGGTTGAGATATTGGTGGAAAAGCTAAATATTGGCTAAGTAATATGTAAAGTAGGTCATTATTATGCATGTACTAAGTTTCATTGAAATCTGTTTTATGTTATATGAGAAACAAGTGGATCATAATTAGCTAATTAATATGAAAATCAGGTAATTAACATGCAGTTTTTAACTAAGAACAAATCAGGTCTGAGCATTATTCATTATGTACCAAGTTTAGTTATAATCTGACAATTGCTTCTTGAGATAACAGACACAGACAGACCCAATAACCACAAGGACTCCTATATTTCAGCTGAAAGTAAAATCCATCATTTATTTACAGTATGCATAATTACACATAAACCATCAAATGAAGATTAATATCAAACATAGCAATTGATTATATTTCAATTACAATCAACGATCATACGCTTTTTGTAGAATAAAATAAAAACTTCCCCTGGCTTCTTATGGCTGATACCTTTTGAAAATGCCCCACTTTTTTAATATAGCGCTGTTCCAATATCGATTTGCGTGATAAAAAATTCTGGGCCAGCTCATTTTGGTAGGATTTGGGGCTTTGGAATATTATTGGCCTGGAGCAAGAAAGGTTATAGTCTCACTAACCGTGTTTTTCAAATTATCCTGTTCCACCATGGTAAACATCGCCCCATTATTAGATCGTTGATCAATACGGTCAACACCATTGCAATTGTTATCATTGACAAATTTTGCGGAAGGTAAACTTGTATGAGAAATTTTCGGACTGTCCTGCAGCATGAAAATGAGGAAAAAAACATTTCCAGATAAAGCAGATTAATATAGATTTCCAATATAAAACAAAAGTTGTACAAAATATGTATGACTTCTCACCCTTAGTTGTTTGTTCAGATACCCAAGTGCATCAAGTATTGCATCTTCATTTTCTTTTTTACAGATTTCAATTTTTTTCTTTAAGTCTAGAAATTCAAAATTCAACATGAAATTTAATATAAGTAGAAATAATCAAATCTTAAAACCATCATCAACATAAAAATAGTAAGATTAATGCAGCACATGTTTTGAGAAAAGTCAGCATTTCCTACTTCATCTTATCCACAATCAAGAACATGTTCATGGTTTTTGTGTGTCTGTCTTTAACCAATTTCTGGGGAACATCCTACTCCATTGTATTTTGTAGAAATCACTATGGATTTTGGATTAATGGATGGGTATGTCAGTGCTTCTTATTTTATTCATACTAGTATTATGGAAATAAAGCAGTCAGCAATTTTTAAGACGTGACATGGCAATGCCATGACAAAGCTTGGCGACTGTGTGCCGTACACAGTACATGTTTGCCATGCAAATTACAGTGAGTTGACTTATTCTCGAATACTTCATAATTGTCAGATACATTCTATTTTTAGATTTTACCTCCAAAAGATGGTCTTTTCTGAGGATCGTCGTCCCAGCACGCTTCCATCACATTTCGTATGACGTCCAGACATTCTGGCGGAATTAATTTAATATCCGGTCGTTGACCGTGCATTACTGCTCCCATTAAATGCTCATGATTTTGTGCATCTGTCATAAATAATAAAATATTCCATGTGTTACATGCACAGTTGTTGGTGTCGCTATAGTGATTGTTTAGAAACATTGTAAATAATTCATATTCTTATATTTACTTTTGTAAGGAGTTTCATTTGTCACAATTTCCCATAAAGTCACAGCAAAGCTGAAAATAAAAGAACAAGTACATTATTCAAGGCAATAATAACAATATATTGACAGTAAATAACCATCATATATTGAATGTAAATGCGTTTTTCAAACATTATTGTTTACATTGAAACAATATAATTGCCACCACGACCAAAATCAACATCATGATAAACATATTACGTCTCAATTCTTACCTGTAAACGTCGAATTTGTAATCTGCTGCTTTATTCACATCCCTCAAGTTTTCAGGGGGTATATGCGATGTTGTTCCCATGTATGAACATGTGCTTTCGATACAGTTCATAATGGAATACTTCTGGGTATATTTCTTCCATGTTGCTAAACCAAAGTCTGAAATCTGAAAGATGTACACACACATGGTATAAATAGAAATTGTGAACTATAAAATGTCAATATAACATTTATATTCAAAATAATAATTTGAAAATGGAAATGGAACAACTCACCTTTGCTTTAAATCCTTCTCCTACAAGAACGTTGTCCACCTTCAAATCTCTGTGTACAATGTTAGCAGTCTCATGGAGGTAGTTCATTCCTAATACTATATTGTATATCATGCATATTTTCATTGGCCATGGGTTATCAAATTTACTTTGGAACGTCTTCATGGAACCATGACACATGTACTCTAGCACAAGGCAGTAGTGAGATGGGTCAATCACAACACCAAATAGTGTTACAATATTTAGAGAACGGACATCGACCATTTTAGCTGCTTCAGCTTCTAGTTCGCAACGCTCCCTGTAATTATATTCATTTAAATACACTTTTGAGAACGAACATATACAACAAATCAAATTACACAATTCAGTGGTTGTTTCGTATTATGTCACATGTATTGATGGAGTTGCAAGCAAATTCAAACTTGTTATGTTCTATGTGAACTACCCTAGAATATACACAATTCGACGCGACAACACGTCGACCTGTAGACCTGACATTTGAATGCTTGGAGCTTTGTTGGCAGATAACGTCTCTCTGTTAAAGCTATTATGGTGTTATAAGTTGTCTAAGATGTAGTATATAGGCATGCTGGGTACCATGGAGATGAAATAACATGGCGTCTTTTACGAAAAGAAATTACTATATTTCAATACAAATTACTTTTAAAATTGGCTGATTGCCTCTATACTTTATCATTTTATAAGTATACTAATCATTCTAGCAATATGTAGTGATTTATTATATGTATAGTTACCATTCGAAATTAATGAAAAATAAATAAAAATGAAAATAAATATACTAAAATTAAATATCAAAAGTTGGTATTAGTTACTATTTTTTGAAAACGTTATGTAAACAGACTCAATGTCGGGTATACAGGCACTAGACTTTCAACTAAAAAAAAAAAGCCTGGTTACCCCAAATTTTCTAATCCCAGTAGTTTTTTTTCCATTCTCATTTTATAATAATATCCAAATTGTCAGTGTGGCCTACTTCAAAATTACTTTTAGCTTAAACATGACTTTCAGTTTAAGGTGCGCTATGAGGAATGTTGACATTGTTCACATCTTGCGTTAAAAATATCACAAACGTATTTTGAAATTAACAAATACAAATACGTGACAGTGTATACAATGATCTTTTACTGTTATTTACATAGTTAACTCAGCAGCAAATATGTAATTAAGAACTACATGAATGATTTATTATACACCCGGCAAGTGATTGACAGCGTCAGTAGCCAATAAGCCACCGTGGTGATATTCTACAGTTACTGTATTACAACACATAGTGTTCCTAGCCATAATTTCCTGCTGTAAACTTTGAAGCAGCTGGTCTGGAAGTTTAAGCGTATTGCACAGAGTGGAGTTATAGTACACATATGGTGCAAAATTAAGAAATTATGTTAATTTTGCCCAATGCTTCAAATTGAATTAAAGCTGTCAGTGTATAAATAGCATGGGACAGTGGGAAGTTGTTTTCGGCTACGCCCTAACAACAACATTCTATCCCGTTGTCCGTTGTGTTTTCTTCACTGAACAGTGTTTTTGTTGCCTGTGCTGTCAACATGTCATATCAATATAAATAATCACATTATAGTGTTACACAAACAAATACATTCAGTCAACATAAATAACCAAATTATGGTAACAATGATTTAAAATATTATTACTTACTTATCTGTGATTGATGTTATTCGAATGGGTTTTTTAATAGCCACTTGCCCCCAGTCTTCGTGCTGTGCTTCATAAACCACCCCAAAACTACCTGAAGCAATACGTCTCTCATCAGAGATTTTGTCGTATGTTATAATATGGCAGCGACTAGGTGATCTTTCTGGTTTGGGGCGGGCGTCAGCCATGATACATGTTACAGTTTTGCTACCAATGTACAAAACAGCACACCCTTTTGAAAACTACCATGACATTGTAACTGTATATAAAATATACCGTTTTCAGTGTAAAGATTCATATTTTGATCAGTCCTGTGAGTTGACAAGTACATGAGAGCCACAGTGTCAATATGCTAATTACGACAAACGAAAGTTAAAATTAAGCAAATTATAATTACAAATATATGCATTCGCGAAGTCGTTTTTATTTACGTTTTTATTAACTCAAACGTCTACTACAGTCATACTTTAATCGTATTTGTTATCACGTATATATCTATATGTGAATATTATTGCCAAATATTTACATGTATACATAGACATTGCTGCAGTTTAGCAGCTCTTATTGGCCGCTTAAGCTATTTCGATATTACGTCGCCCGCAACGTATACCACGACCAAGATAGGGCAGAGCTCCAGAAGGAGTACCTACACTTTATGCAATTTTTTTTAAAATTATGCTAATTTATTCATGACGTAGCAGTTTCTGTGCTCATGAATATTCATTAATTTGTGGGTCATTACATTTTAAAAGGGGCGATATATTATTTTTGGGGGAAGAGTTAGAAAGGGGGATTAGCAATCCTTAGGGGGTCAATACAAAAGAAGGGACCCATTTGGAGAGCAGCCATGCTCCTCGTGTCTGTTGTTGCACGTGACCTACAGCTGTCAACTGTGTTAGTTCTTCGACTGTGTTCGTTCTTTGACGACTTCGACTGGCTTCCATGTGAGGTAGTATTCTTGTGTTCTGTTTTCCTGACTTGAGTTTTTGAATCCGCTGTTTATGATTTTAACGTCTTTCATGTCTTTTGTAGGAGTGTCCAATCCGTGATTCGAACTTGCGATCTTTGAGTTCCCAGCGCACTGTCTTGTCCACTGTACCACGAGTGTCTTCACACAGGAGTTAGGATTTAAGTCCTATTCATAGGACACTGTCTTACTAGCATTCAAAAATCTAACTAAACATACCGGATTCGAACCAGCGATCGCTCACATTGCTGACATACTACAAATCAACTGAGCTATGTGGGTAGTCATGCAAATTAATTAATTTGTTGTCATATTTAGCTTTATTGCCAAATGGTGTTTGCGAAAAAAAGATGAGCAGGCAAGGGAATTGAACCCAGGTCCTCCTGGTCACTATGTAGAGAACTGACCCACAAGACCACAAAGGATTGACTGGATGTATTTGCATTTGATAAGACTATATAGTGTGTATATATATATTTCTATTATTGAGTTACAATTGTCCAAAAAATTGCCAATTTTGTGTTTTTACTTGTGTAAACTATATGCATGCCATAACCCGTTAGTGTACATCTTGCCAATTGGGTGTTTGCCATTTGCGTTGCCCATACCTGACCCGACCCTAACCCTAATGCCAAGACACGTTCCTGTTAATAATTCCGTTGCCCATACCTGACCCGACCCTTACCCTAATGCCAAGACACGTTCCTGTTTATAATTGCTCAACAATGATACTCTGTTGTGCACTGTCTGCGGGTAAGTTGCATTGATGTCAACTGATTAAACAAGTCGCGTTTAAGTAATTTAACACTATTAACAAGTGGTTAAATTGTGACAATAAATGTGTGGACAAATATTT